CTTATTAATTTATTATGCATGGCAATTTAGTTTTACTATTGTTTTGTTATTTTACTTTTTCGTCAAGCACTTTAATAATTAGATTTCTACATATATATTACATACATATTATTTATATAGCCATGATATGGTTTACAAGAAATTGCCTTAAACAAAAAAAAAAGCCCGGAAATTAAAAAGCCCGTTAGGCTCGCTAAGCCTACGAGCCCGACCCGTTTAGCCCAGGACCATATGGGCTTAGGCCCGTCACGGGCTGGTTCCACCCGTTGAGCCCACGAAGCCCGGGACCGTGAGGCCCGGGACCGCCAAGCCTAGGCCCATTTGGCCCGGCCCGTTTGGCCCATTTAGGCCCCGGACCCGACCCAGAATACAACATTATTTGAGACTACTGAAGGCATGGTACCCCAGGTTTGCTTTGGGCCTGCATCAGGCTCCCTACAGCTTAATTTCTATTGAATTTATGTAATTTATTCAATCCTGGTTTGTAATAATTATTTGTAAACATATATTGGGGTAACTAGTGAAACGGGAGGGTAGTTGTATGGTATTGTGGGGTAATGCTGGGTAGAAATCATGTTTTTAGGCTTTACATTACGCAAATCTACACTAGAAATCATGTTCTAGGACTGGTATGTCTATTTGCATTCAAACCATGTTAAACATGCACACTAAACATCCCGTTCTTAGGGTATTCACGTTTATTGCTTCAGCATATTGCATGTCATATATCTCTATTCCAGCTTTGATTTTGCATTAGTATTTTCACTTAGAGATCCTGCTATTAAGTTAATAATCCCGCCTTAATAAAAGTAGTCATCTCCTGTATGGATTAGATACCATATTTTCTAGGAACTCTAGTTGCATCTGTTTGAACCATGTTTATTTCGATCAAATCAATAGCTGTCTACAAAAGGGTTTAAAAATAGTCCAAACACATAGATATCACGTCCTACTGTCAACATGCCTAAAATCAGTCATTGTCACTTAGATCAGCATGCCTATAGGATTAACTAACTTCAAGTTGCTTAATTAATTCCTAGATTATGACTGCATATAGACACACGCCTAGGCAAGCCTTAGGCCATTAAATTACTGTGAAATCCAGTCATGTTTATGTGTGAAATTATCTAGGCTTAACAGGCTATAAAACTAGTAGGCAAACTGGTTAGGATTCTGCCACTTCCCTTAAAACAAACGTTGCATATCCTGTATCTGTAACATTCATCTAGATATCATATTCCTAGGCTTTTTGAACTTCTTCAAAATCAGTTGTTTGAGACGTGCTATCTATTTGCCTATATACATGCGGAGGTAAACATGAGCCTTTTAACTGCCTTTTCCCGATTTGCTTGTCCTATATGTTATTTTGTTTGTCGCCTAGATTTTTGCCTTTTAAATACCTTAGGTTTGTTTAGAACTGCCCCGATTTAGAGGTCCTAAGCTCCTCCAGGACCACAAGGAAGGGACAGGTAGTAGCACGCTTAGAGGTCGTTAATCAAACTCGCTTATATAACCATTAAGAGGAGGGTAATGGGTAGTAAAGGATATGATGACCTGTGCGCTAATGTCACGTGTAGCCCCTCTAGTTGAGGAGGATTACCGGGGCATTGCATAGATTGATCCTGTAGGCTAATCAACTTAGGACTCCCCTTTCCTAATTTCAATATATGTTTAAATTATCTAAACTTCCCTTTTCTTTATATATACGTGTGTAAGCTGTCCAAACCCCTTTTACCCTCATTATCTGAACTTCCTTGATCATATATGCATTTAGATGGGGAAAACTACTTTATTTGCAAATACATGCTACTTATTAATTGATTAATTCTCATAGTTTAAGTTCGGTCGGGACCAATCGTTGTGGACCGCGAGGGGTGCCTAACAGCTTCCCCTCAAGGTTGTTTCAAGCCCTTACCCTAATATCTGGTAATGCAAACTAGTCACATGAGTTAATCGCTCTAGGTGCCCAAACGCACCTTAATCCGTTAGGTGGCGACTCTTCAAATACCCAATTCCCAAAAGAAAACGAGTTGTTCCCCCATGAATGTCGAAACCCGGACCCCGCGAGGGAAAAGGGGGCGCGACAATAGTAACAGACAAAATAGGAAACATAGAGGCAAACTACATAAAAAAACACAAGTGTGAAAGTAACATACAAAACAAAAGACATAGATGAGAACCAAGATAGAGCGCATGTATATGTCTAACAAATGAGTAATAATAACAACTTCCTTTCTTTTTGTACGGAAACAACCAAAAGGCCAATCTTGTTTCAAGCCGCACGAAAATACTTTTTGTGCCAACATCATATCAACCGCACGAAAATACCCACCGTGCCAAACATTGTCCTAAGGCCCTAATCATCATCTCTTACTACAGATAAATAAGCTCAAGTAATATGACAATAACATGTATAGATGTGTGTTCATGATACTACGGACGAGTTAAATGCGTAAACAATCTCAAAACAACATATTAAATCCTTTTAAGATGCCATACATTTTAACATGATTTCTAACACAGTTAATTAAATTCACCAGTCACATAATTAAGTGAAGCATAATTCAAGGGATCACCAAGTTCAACAAAGCACGAAGAAGCATATAATTCCCCCTCCCCGAGTATGAAAAACTAGCACATGCATATACGCTCGTTACCTCGTATATGTATCACCGTCGCATGTCGCAAATAATATCATTTATTAGGAAAATTTCCTCAGCAAAGCTAGGCAAGATACTTACTTCTTTCCGGAACAAAATCGACAATTCAACACGACTTTTCCTTTGGAACAAGTATCTAAACCACCCGAATTTAGTCAATTATTGTTCAAACAAGTCAAAACAAACTTTAAAGATTACCCATGAATGGTAAAGGTTCTTTAATATAATTAAAAAAGTAACCCAAGTCCACGTAGTCAAAATTTAAAATTAAGATCAAACCCATTCATCCCTAGTCCGAATATGTAATTTGTTTCGAAATCCGACCTCAATTTGAGATATAAATCTCAATTTTATAAAATCTCTAATTTCTACTCAAACCCTAATTTCTAATATATGAAATCTCATATTTAAAAGTGAAAATTCATGAAAATAAGTTAAAGTTACTAACCTATGAAGCTGGGAAGAAATTGCTCTCTAAAAATCGCCTCTATTGAGTCTAGGTCTAAAAATTAGTGTAAAATGAGCTAAGTCCTGAAATCTCCATATTTTACCTAGCCGCAGGTATCGCAATTGCAGACCCCATGCCTCAGCTCTTTTGTTGTCGCAAATGCGAACATGGGACCAATCGCAAATGCAGAATTGACTTCACAAAAGTGAAGCTGTCCTAATTTCTCCAAGGTCGCAAATGCAACTAATAGACAGCAATTGCGAAATCCACCTCTCATCACAAATGCGAAGCTCCCCAATCCCCTCCAGCATCGCAAATGCGAGACTCGCATTTGCGATCAGAATCTCTCAAATGCGAGATTTGCAGATCAACAACACTAGCAACCTAACAGTTATGCAAAATCAGTTTGCACCCTACCTGAAACTTACCCGAGTCCCTCAGACTCCAATTAGTACATTCACACAAGTGTAATAACACCATACAAACTCGCTCGCAAGCTCAATCATCAAAATAACATTTAAAATCAATAATCAATCATCAAAACTCAAGATTTTTCAAAGTTCTCAATTTTTCTAACTTTTCACATAAAGCGCCAAAACGACTTCGGGTCACCCGAGGACCCAACCAAACATGCGTACAGGTCAAAAATCATCATGCAAACCTACGTGAATCATCAAAACACCGATCCAAGGTTGTTAACCAAAAACATTGACTGTGGTCAATTCTAGCAATTTTCAAAGTAAAAAATCACCCTTTTCGTTAAAAAGTCACATTTGAATTTTTCGAAGATAGGCACGGACCATGCACGCAAGTGATAAATAATCAAAAAAAGCTATGAAATTTTTTGAAATACAGAAAGTGAAGCTAGTACTCAAAACGACAGATCAAATCATTATAGTAAAACACAAAAAAGATATCATATTTGAAGTGTTTTTCACTTCAGATAAAAAACGATGCAGTTAGTTTCTAATTTGAAACTTCAGACTCATTGAAAAAGTGATTGTTACTTCTTCAAATTTTTTTAAAATTTCACACGATTTTAATTATTAAATTTGAAGTTTTCAAGATGTTTTGAGATTCTGTAAGTTATGAAATCTGAAGTTTCAAATTTTAGACAACTAAATATGATTTCTAACCAATTGTAAGTAAAACAAAACTAGTTTATGTCAGACTAAAATGGCTAAAGTTAGCTTCTAAAATTTTAGAACTTCAGACTCATTCATTTGAAATTTTTCTGGAAACAATTGGTTGTTTGTTGAAGCTGATTTTATTATGAAATCTTAAGCTTTCAAAATATTTGAGGCTCTACAAGTTATAAAATCTAAAGTTTCAAATATCAGACAACTAAATATGATTTCTAACTAATTTTAAGTAACATAAAGTTACTAAATTTTATTTTTTTCGTGAAGTTTTTTTTTTTAAATTGTTAAACTTCAAAAAAAAGAATCTGATTCTAATTAATTATAATATAAAGCTCGATCAACCACAAAAATAATGCAAAATCTAAAGTGCTTGATGAAAGCTCGATCAACTACAGAAATATTGATAAATAAATACATAAATAATACTCACACTACATCTGTAAATTAAATCTGAAGTGTTTTTGATGATCAACAACAAGTTTTGGATTTTTGAATAAAGCTACTGCATTGAAAAACTAGAAATTATGGTAGCAAATCACACGATCTATATTGGACGCAACTTTTATAATGTTCCTTAGTTTTTTTTTTGTTTGAATATTATTAATTTACTACTAAGTGGGTACCGTTTAAATAATTTATAAAAAGAGAATACATGTTATGCAAACCCCTTCGGTTTATTAGCGGGAAAAGTTGCAAAAAATGGCGGGAAAATTCTTCAACATTTTTATAGGGTTACAATATAGAATAAATTCCTCTGTCAACAAAACACCCAACTTAATCTATTTCCCTTTTTGAGAGAGTAAAGTAAAGAAAGAATCGAAAAAATGTTCGGAGGCAGTCAATTGGACTCATTTTCTGGCGGAGGTTTTATGCCTTCTCAATCAACTCAAGGCTCCGATCCTTCACGCACTTCCGCTAAGGTAATGAATCTCTACTGCCAAACCCAATAAACCTTTTCCTTTTCTGATGTATTTTTCTCGCACATGACAAGATTCTTTTTATTTTTTTGGACAGAGTCGTGATAACCCACCTCTGCTTCCGCTAACAGTGAAACAGATAAGCCAATCAATACAATCAAGTGATGAGAAATCTAACTTTGTTATTGATGGTGTCGATGTCAATAATGTAAGTGTTGTTTTATTTTTTTTTTCTTTTTGAAGTCAAGAATTTGTTCATTTTTTTGGGTACTCGGTCCGTTCTAAAAGAGCACAAGGGTTAAAACATTTAAATTTTGGTCTTAATTGGGGTATCCATGTCGCAACTTATTTTCTAGAAAAAATGGGAATTCACATAACTGGAAACGAAATGAAAAGTATTTTCAAATCACAATTGTTTGTGATTACAAGGATTCAAGAAAAAGCCACTTTGACTGTTCATATTAATAGTGTCATATGAATTGGGAGGAGGTAATATTTTGGATTACTTGATTCTTCTGTTTAGAATTTTTGAGGGTCAATATTGTTATTCAGTAAATCCAGGTATACCTGTGGAAATTTCCACTTAATTTTTGGTTTGTAGTTTTTGTGGGTTAAAATTGAGTCAATTCAAAGGGCAATTGTTGGGTTAAGCTACTCTTTCGGTGGTGCTGTGTGCTAAGGTGCCATTTCCAGTGTTGTGTAAATATTGCATATTTATTCCTTCCACTAGAAAAGATATTTTGGGGGTTGTCTGTGAAATTTTACCCAACTTTTTGGTTTAGGTGAGATTGGTCGGATTGGCATTTAAAAAATCCGAGAGAGTGACAGATGTGACTTTTACAATTGATGATGGCACTGGTCGCATTGAATGCACTAGATGGTAAATTTTCTTGCTTTTCTTTTTCTTGACATTACATTTTCTCACTTATATAAAGACATAAAAATACATATATGATCTACATGCTGTTAGGGGGCAAACAATGGTCATCCTAAGGGGATCCATTGCTGCAAGAGCACTTAAATTAAAACTTACTTCTTGTAAGTAACTTTCACATTTTGGCTGTGTTTCTTGAACAATTGAAGTATTTAAGATGGTGATACAGGATCTTTACTGTGTTATTAGTCATTTTCCTATCGATTGGTTTGGGTGCTTTTATTCCTAATACTGCTTTCAGTACATAAAAATGGAGGTGCCTTCTTAAAAGAAGTTCTTCCTGTGCATAAAATGAAGGTGAACTTGTATTTTCTCTTTTGGTAACTAATGTGAACTTGTATTTTCTGTAATTGAAATGCAACAAGTTTGACCAAACTTAAAAAAATTAGGGAGCTCAATGCAGTATTTGAAGCTTGATGTTGTCTACCTTGATGGCTCTAGGTTTAATCTCTTACCCTTTTTCAGGGTGAATGATGCTGTGGATACCAAGGAAGTAGAGGAAGTATCGTAAGTCACGTCTCTATCAACCATTTGGGAGCCAATGATGTGTTTTTTCTTTTTTACCTTTGTAAATCTACATTTCTTTAAGCAGGGATGGGATGTATGTGCGGGTCCACGGACACTTGAAAGGTTTTCAGGGTAAAACACAGCTAGTGATTTTTGCTATCAGGTTTGTGAAGTCTATGCTTCTATTCTTGTTCTATTTTAAAAAATGCTCTAAACTTGTACGATCTTAACTATTCTATGGCCAAATTTTCCTTACTTGTTATTGCAATTATGTTGCAGTTCGTCATTAATATCTCTAACAGATAATACCTTTTTCTTCTCAAGAGTTAAACAATATCATGACCTCATAATGTCTTCAACGATTGGAACTACTTTTTTGATAGAATATTCACACCCTTGATTTTTCTCCAATTAGTGGGGGAAAACTAATCCATAATCCTCTTCTACTTGTTAGTTTTGATCCAAGGATGATCTCTTTGTTCATTTATTTGTGTTCTCTCTGAGGGGGGAACAACCTTTCCCTTTAGCACTACCTGATTTCAACTTACATAGCCAAATTTGCAGTCCTTCAAGTGTGAGGTGTTCACTGAGAACCATAGAGATTTACAGTGTATGTCTTATGGTGTTTCGTCAATTGAACTTTATGATCTTTATCAAACTTTGGTATGATTAGTCATTTCAAGTATGTAATATCTGCTTTTCCAGGTATTTTCTTAAACATTTTAAGACTGATCCATAATTTATCAATCATGCCTCCTCTTGTTGTACACTGTATTAAAGTTCGCGCTCCCAACTTTTTGTTTTTGCCTAGAGAAAGGTAGAATATTAGAAGACAAACAATTTAGTATTGGACGCTGGGGACATGCTATGGAGTTGAATCAGGACAGCTTAGTGTTTATTTGTTATAGAAACTATTTTCTTGGACTTGCGTACTCTTTGTTTGTGAATTAATGTCCTTTGAGTGTCTTTTCAGATGGTGTGAGGTTTTCGACATTGATTTCCAAATCTGTTTATTGGTATAACTTCCAATTCCTATGTATAGCTTTCTTTGTGTTTCTCTTTCTTGATCATTTTTAGGATGTCTATAGTGATATTGAGTGCCGAAATTATCTTCGGGTGGTTTGTGGTTGAACTTTGCTTGTTCCACAGATCATCCTTGACTAATCTTTAGTTTGGCTTATTACTTGTAATTTAGAGATTTTATATTGTTTGTCCCTTATGGACCTTAGTTTTAATTAAATTGAACTCTAGAATCAGTTGTTGATGAAGGGTGAGACTCCATTCTCCCCGGTTGTTTTCCAGTTTTCACGTGGCATCCCTGAGTTTTCAAGATATGCATAGCACCTCTTAACCTTTCGAAAGCAAGCATTTTATCTCCAAGTAACTTAGTTTATGCTGCATGTGCAACTAATGTAAAATGAAGTTGGTTTCTTTAGCTTTTATTTTCCTCCAAAATATGATATGTGAAAATTTGCCCAAATTCTCTTCCTTTCAAGTTGTAACAAAAGGTTTATCCTAACTCTTTGTCCCCCTTGCCAGAAAGATTGCTAAAAACTTTACATCATTGTATATAGCGATTCTTTTATAAGCTTATCAATAAACACACTATTTTGGTCGTTGATGATATTTCAGACCGATTACTGATTACAATGAAGTTGCTACACACTACCTTGAATGTATCTATGTCCATCACTGCAATAGGAAGCCACAGGTAAAAATTGGCTTCTAAAAGCAAATGAGAGTTTGATATAAATCATCCTTTTCTGTTCCTTCTACAGCCCTACTTGTAGAATAACTTTACTCTTTTCTCCAATACAGAGCGGTCTCTCTGTCTCCGCTCCCGGTCAAACTGATGTGCTTGTAGCAGTTAGTGCCCCTTTAAGTGGATTCAGTTCCAGTCAGGTTAGTATTGGACTATGCAGTGAATGATGATTCCAGATCGCTATTCTATTATGCATCATGCACAAATGATTTTGTGTGATTATCTGCTTCACCCATTATTTCTTTCAGTTGTCTGGACATTTGAGCATCGATGGGCTCAAGGGCATAGAGAAGGCAGTGATCGATTATTTGGAACAGCCGTCATCACTGTAAGTTGTTTAATATGCTGTTAATCATATCAGTGATTCATGATGCTCATAGCTTCTCTTTGGTTGATATACTATTTCAGAAGAGAAAATTTTATTGAGTATGAATCGTATGCTTTCCGAATGACATAGTCTAGTTTTCAAGAGTTAAACTAACTTTTTTGGTTTGAGTTTCCTCTCCATCTCAAAGTGAACGACGCCCTGTTCATCCAAAAATTAAGATTCTCTTAAAACTCTAATTTGATGAAAGATTTATTCAGCATTTGAAATCCAGGAAGCTTCTTCTTGATCTTACTTGTTTATATTTTGTTATTTTTCTCATTTTGTTCTTCAAAAGCATACGAGAGAATTATCAGAAATAAGTTTGATCAAGTTTGACCTTTTAAAAAGACAAGGAACTTCGAATTGAAGAGAAGGGGGTAACATTATCCTTCGTCACACTCGTTTCTGAGGGTTAAATGGCACCTAGTTGGCTTTTCAAACATTCCAGGCAAATTTGGCAGCTGCAAGAATATAGGTTTACTTGATTTGAGTAACTTCTCTACTGTGATTAACTTGTGAAGCTAGAAAAGATACTGTCATTCATACACACATACATGCATATGTATACAAAGATGCATATACACAGTACAGCCCAAATCTAAATCCTCTTGAGCAGACACTGAACACAACATGATTTATCTATGTTCATATTTTGCAATGACGACGATGCTCTGAGAGTATTTTGGTAAACTTTATGGGATAATTATATTTTGTTCAGAGCAATTGATTTTGAAAAAGATAGTTCTGAAAGAAAGGAAAAGTAGAAAAGAGGTCAGCAGCTTTGAAACTACTGCCTCAAAGTGCTGAAGGCATTTGATTTGACATTACTTGCCATTTTAAGCCAAATATTTACTGAAAATAGTGAATCCTATTTGGTTGTGCTTGTGGGAGGTAGCAAGTATCCCATGGAATTAGTCAATGTGCGCTCAAGCCAGAGACGAATTTAGGATTTTTAGAACATGGGTGCACCGCTAAGAAAGAAGAAAAAAGAATATTTAGTGGGAACTGATACCTCTTCCTTTGGGTAGAAAACTCAATATTTAACCAAATGCACCATTCAACCATTTTGGAGCATGGGGGCCAACAAATAAGATCAATTCTAGGAAATATGTACATAAAATACTTGTTTTGGAGGAAAGACCATGGGTTCACGTGCATCATAATTTGGCCAAAATCTGCCGCTGGCTGGCTTGCTCAAGTTGGACCAGGCACCACGGTTATAAATTTGATTGTGCATATAACATTTTCCGAAACTATTATCTGGAAAATGTTCTTTGATGAGAACCATTTGTGGAGGTTATTTTCAGTGCTTGATTGGTCATGCATATTTGTAGCAATTAAAATTTAAGGACGATTCGAATGTTGTTTTCATATGGATATCAAAAATAAAAACACTGTTCTCTATTTGTAGGAGTAAGTGATATTGTATAGTGGAGGGAATCACAATAATTATGCCCTCAAGGAAGAAATGCATTGAAATATGGTGAATCTTCCATCAAACTAATAAAAAGATCAAGATTCCATGCTTCATTTGAAATCAAGATAGATATCATTTCCTAGAGTTGAATTGCTCGATGGTAGTTAAAACATAATCGGCTCGTACCAATTTTGCTTTTTGTGGAACATGTAGTTGGCGTCTGAGTAATTCTGCAACATGTAGCACTCAACTGCTTTTAATACCAAGCTGTAATATTGTAGAAGGGGTCTTTTGAAGAACATCATTCATCTTCGTTTGAGTTGATCATGTTTCCTAGCTCTAGATGCAAAATCTTATCATCTATCCATGTTCAGTTCACAGGAGAAAGGGATACACTGGAATGAAATTGCTCAACAACTTAAAGTTCCTCTGGAGAAAATCAAGTATATCTCTTTATCTATCAAACAAAAAGATAAAGGACAATTTTGTTCCTCATTTTCATTTGCATGCAGATTGTAACAAGTCCCTTCTTTATAACCTAATCTTTTTTGAATCTTGATAGGGAAGCAATAGCATCTCTTGAATCGGAAGGGCTGGCTTACTCTACCATCGATGAATGTCACTACAAGTCAACAAGTGCTTAAAGCTTTGCTTAAATGCTCAGGGAATCAGGGGAAAGATCATGCATTATAGTTAAGCTTGCCCTCGTCAAATATATCTAGTTTTAGTAACTGATTTCTGTCAGTGTAGATTCATGTTGGAGTCGACTTTGAACGAACTAAAGCCTGTGAGAAGGTTTTTGTGTTTTTTGCTATTTTTTTGGGTTGTATTTGTTAGGGTTCGTTGATCTGTTGCCACTCCTGTTTTGATGTAAAGAATTACCCATGGATAGGGGTAAACAGGTCTTTCGTCTTTCAAAATCTCCACAATGGCAATGGTGCTTTCGGCAGACCTAGTAGTGGAGCAACCCAGTTGGAGCCCCTTTGGGAGCTCAATGTTTTTTTCCTTCATTCATTAGTCAAACGATAACCGTGTCTTTTATTGAGAGCATTGGTCAATTATTAGATCCCTCTATTACAAAGCCACACTGGATAACCCAACAGGCACAAAATTTTTATGTAAGAATTACAAGAAAATACATATGACTTCACGCCATAACAAAAAATGATCCATATTTTTAAGTTTTATCGGACCTAGTCCACATTATACATATTTTAAAAGCACTAGCAAATTCAAAATTTGTGTCCTTGTAACTATTGTTTCTAAAAGTTATGGAGTTAAATGTGTTTTCACAACCATTGCTTTCACTCTCTTTTCTTCTCACATCTTATACATATGCTTCAAGGGGCCGTGTATTTTTTGCTTCTCCTCTTATGTCACCTGCTTGCAATGTAAGAAAATTGAAGAGTAGAAGTCCAACATTGAAGACCATTCAAAGCTTTGCTTTCGAAAATGTTTTTTTTTGAATTTGTTGGTTGTTTGGATTGGGTGTTGCTCTAATTGATTGAAAATATCAAAAGAAGTTTAAAATTTAAGTTTGAAGTGATTTGGAGTAGATTTGAGTTAAATTTTAGAAAAGACGCAAGGAAGAAGACGACGCCAATTTTTTGTATAATTATGTATAATTTTGTATAATAGTGTATATTAGTGTAGAAATACACCTTATACACTATTATACACTTTTATACACATTTATACAAGCGTCTGTAGACAAATTTTTTCTACGATTTTCAGTTACAATTCTTATTCAAATCAGTCCAAATCTCCATTAAATGATTTCAAATTTTATATACAACCTCCTTATACTATGTCTAACAAGTCTAAATAGCACCCACTCCAAATTTCTCACAAAATCAAATTCGGAATTTAAACCCACATATTTAAGCTTGTTGAAAATCTAATTTTCACCACCCAAATGAATTTGGTTTGTTGTACTAATATTTGAGCCACAGTTACTGATTCAAAAATTAATTTAAAAGCTTGAGGAATCTTTTTTTAAAATTAAATAGTAATTTTAGAATTTATTGGAATTGGATATTGAATCTTAACCTATTATTTTTGGGCTAGTTGGTTGTAAATTGAAATATAGACTAAAAGCGAAAAGTAGGGAGCCCAATAGTTCTAATGTGAAATTTTTCCAATTTTTAACCACTTTGCACCAAGAACAATAAATGCAACTCGACGTACCTTTGATCTATGTTTTCATCAATTGTTAATGGTTATGTGCCAAATGTATTTTAATTTTGCGAGGGTTTAAGTTTCTTTTTTTTTGGCTTAAGTTTAAATTTTTGGTTTGGTGCTAACACTATTGGTAATGTTGATTCTGCTAGAATGAGATAGTGTAGAGAACACTCTTATTTGGGCTAAGATGAGTTGGGTTAAAATGAGCTAAAATTCAGGTCATAGCTCAACCTGCCCAATTCTTTTCAAGCTTCACTTAATATGTGTTGTCTTCTTATGAATTGTATAATTAGTAAGGAAAACTTCTTTTTTCTTTTGTTATAGTCATATATAACATATCAAACAAAAAAAATTTATTTATAAGATATTTTGACAAAGTTATTCATGAATCAATTTGGGCTAAAAATTGGCTCAATTTTAAATGAGAAATTTTCGTTCCTATACCATATAAGAAACTATATTACCAAATATGTTCATAGTTTGCATATTACCCACCATGCTAATAGTTTCTACAAAATATAAACAATTCATTAAATAAAGAATCATTGTAGTTGTAGGCTTCCTTATTTAGGCGCACTAATATTGAAGAATTAAATATTCTTCCAGATATTTTACAACGCAAATCATGCATTAATATTATCGGCTGTTTCGATTCAAAATTTAGCGACTCTGTTTTTGCGATACACTGTGTTTCAATATTTTTTCTGATTTCACAAATCAAAAATGACTATATCTTCTACAATTCTTCTGCAACAAACACAATTATGTCCAAAATCTCAATTATGCTACAACTGAATGAGAATTGGGATAACTATGAGAGATTTAGAGAATTTCAGGTCGATGACATTGTAGTCGATGAGGATGCGAGTTATAGTCTATTGATTTCTACAATAGCACAACAATTAATGATCGATACATCCGAAAAATTATAGAAATCAAATACAAAGCAAAGGAAAAGAGAGCAACAATTCCACCATTGACAGCCATTAAAAAGCTTTGAAGCTTTGAATTCGAATTTGGGTTTTCAAAAATTATTATTTGTTTGGATTGGGTGTTGTTGAAAATAATTGGGAATATGGTTTGGAGTTTATATCTCAATTTTAAGGGGTTTTGGTGAAGATTAGGCTTGGTTTTGGCTGAATTTCATATTGAAACTCGAAGAAGAAGAAGAAAAAGAAGACATGACATACATTATATTACAAAAATTGTAGACTGTTGTTTATTTATTTTTCTTTTATTCATTTAACTATTGTATGAAGGTTGAACAATATTGTATAAAAATTGTATGTAAGTGGTATTATATTGTAGTTGTGTATTCATGGAGACGAAAAAGAAAAACAAAAACTTATGATCATATCCGCTATGTATAACTGTTCGCGATTTCAATATGTAATTGAGTATCACCAATGAGAANCAACGTTTCTACAAATTATCTACAAAATTTCTACAAACTGTAACAGAATTTATCTGTATTTTCATGCAGGTTCGTCTGGAACACTAAAGTTACTTGATATGCAAACATCTCCCGTTATAATGGAATATGAAAGTATAATAATAAGAGATAGTACACCAAGTTTTATTGAAGTAGGACAAATATACCAAGACAAGCAAATTTCATACAACTAATTATACATAGTAAAAATAAATTTCACACAACTAATTATATATTATACAACTTATTTTCATACATTATTTCTACTCAGTTATATACAACTACAACATAATACCAGTTAAATACAATTTTTATACAATGTTGTTCAACTTTCATACAATAGTTAAATAAATAAAAGAAAAATAAATAAACAACAGTCTACAATTTTTCTACATTTTTTCTACAATTTCTGCAATATATTCAATCTAAAATTCAGCCAAAATCAAGTCTAATCTTCACCAAAGCCCCTCAAAATTGAGATATAAACTCCAAACCATATTCCCGATTATTTTCAACAACACCCAATCCAAACAAATAATGATTTTTGAAAACCCAAATTCGAATTCAAAGCTTCAAATAATGATCTTCTTCTTCTTAGAGTTTCAATCTGAAATTCAGCCAAAATCAAGTCGAGTCTTCACCAAAACCCCTCAAAATTGAGATATAAACTCTAAACCATATTCCCAATTATTTTCAACAACACCCAATCCAAACAAATAATGATTTTTGAAAACCCAAATTCGAATTCAAAGCTTCAAAGCTTTTTAATGGGTGTCAATGGTGGAATTGCTGCTCTCTTTTCCTTTGCTTTATATTACTAAAATTTGGGATTGAGAGATAGAGAGAGACGTAGAGAGAATTCTCAATTCTTTGCAACAACATCCAATCCAAACAAGCAAATGTCTTTTGAAAACCCAAATTCGAATTCAAAGCTTCAAAACTTTTTAATGGTTGTCAATGGTGGAGGGGTTACAAATTTTCGCTGGTTTTAGAAGAGGAAATCGTGGGTGATTGAAGAGGAAATCGTGGGATGTGGTTTGATACGTGAGTGAGGTGGTGGGATTTGGAGAGAGAAACTTGGGGGAGTGGGAATATACGGTTGAGTAAAATTAGGAGACTAATTAATACCATTAAAATCCTAAAATGGTATATAGATGGTAATTAGGTATATAGAAGGTAATTATATTAAAAGTTAAGCATGAAGGGTAATATAGTTTACTATATGGCATAAGAATATAAAAATTCCATTTTAAATGGGTTGAGATGAATTGAGTCAAGATGGGTCAAGTTTAACAAATTGGCGGGTCAATAACCAACCCAACCTTGAACGAGTTGGGCGGGTCATTTGGGTTTGGGTCAAATTTGACAGCCCTAATACTCCATTGATACAACGGGTTGAGTGACGATAAAAAGAATCCTCGATTAAAGTACATATTTATATACGCAGTTTCAAATGAAATAAGGCGATGGAAGCAAAAGATTGTCAATTTTTATTTGGAATTAATCAACGACCCATGTTAAAAGATGAGCACATGAGCTTTTCATATCCACGTAAACAAACTAATGGTGATAGTTTCCCTGTCGCAATATAACCTAATCTTAATATTATAAATCAAACATGAAACATTTCCAAAATAATGCATATGCACTAGCAATTCAGCCACAAAAGTGTAGTTGAGGGTATATATTAGACCAATTTGATAGTTTATTGACTTTTTGTTTGTCTATGCGGTACCAATATGGTGAATGTTATAGCCGTGATGAACATCCGTTAAAGCAAGAGACAACAAATACGGGATGAAGTTAATGCTGCGAGGCTCTTGTATAACACCCGTTACTATGGGGCTAAGGTTTGATCCGTACGACATGGATATAATGACACCAAGATTGGAAGTGCGGGAACCAACAAGGATAATATAGTCAAAAGTGGCTAAACAATTTAAGACTTTAAGATGTGAAAACAATGGCTAGATATATTTTTTGCATGTCCAAGGAGGCTACAGACTTATACCATATAAGATGGTCCTAAAATAAGTGTATCATGTATTTTGAAAGTTAACTAAGGTATAAGAAGATCTCTAGCACAAAATCAAGTAAGAATTCACACAACATCCCCGTATTTCAAAGGAGCTCGTACCAGCTTCAATTTCAAACAAGCTACCTACCCGTGTATGATGATTTAGGTGGTGGATTACTTATCAAATTAAAGGTCTTAAGTCTCGTTTTCAACATACTAATGGTACAAAAAATTATACGTGTTATACTACGAACCTGCATAGTGCCCAATGAATACGGGACACATAACACCTCCTAGGTAAAGTCGCCAAACTTTATGTTTTATAAGGTAAAACTTTGGGAATTCATTCTTAGTCACTTGCTAAACGTTTTTAGGCATAATCTCTCCATTTTTCCTCTTCTCTCACCCTCCAAGATCAAGATAAGTGTTTCAACTACTACTCTAGCTTAAATAAT